ATATATATATATATATATATATATATATATATATATATAATATATATAAGTAGTAGAAATACCTCCTATATATATATATCCCAGAAATACCTCCCACATTATGTGGTAGCTATTTATGTGAGGTATATTTGGGAGGTATTTCTGGGAGGTATTTTTGGGAAGTATGTGTGGGAGTTATTTCTGGGAGGTAACACGACAACAAAATTCCCCGGACGAGTGAGTCTACTCCATTGATTCTTTCTCGTCTCGTTGATAAAGAATACAGGCGTGTCTGAAAATATCGACTTTAAAATGTTTCTCTTCATGCTTCTGTTTAGTCAAAAGGCCTACTAATATCAAATAAATATCATTCGTCTTAGTGATAACATTTTTATCATTTTGTTGTCTTTTTATTACTCGAATTTCATTAACCATCTACATATATATATATATATATGTATATATATATATATATATATATATATATATACATATATAAGGATACATGAGGTGGTTCTAAACAATTCTCGAGTCAAACCACTTCACAATATCGGAGCAAACGGCGAAATACATGAATTTTATTGAACTCCTCTCTTCTTCGTCGATAACATTCAGTATCCTTCATATATATATATATATATATATATATATATATATATATATATATATATATATAATCCTCACGTGTGGACCAAACGATTACAATAAGGTTCGTCTACGAAACTCTAGAGTCGGGTTACTGAGTATAACATTATTCAGGTAAGTGGCAAATTGTATTAATCACTCACGCGCACACACACACACACACACACACACACACATATATATATATATATATATATATATATATATTCAAGCATGTTTGGTTGAATACTCTAGACATGTGTCTATTTATTTTATTTTAATCCTCTCAAATTCACGGATCAATTTCTTAGTGTTATTATACTGATGAAGAAAGACACCGTAGTTTTTGTTATTTGTTTTATTTACCCCAAGTACTTTCAATCTCGTCCAAGATCATCTTCTAAGGTGAACAAAAATTACTGTAATTGATAGTTGTGAATTTTTTGCAAAGGCGCATAAACCCAATCCGTTATAGTCAATTTAAAAATTGACTATTCAACCAAACATGCTTGATTGGAGATATTCAGCTTATATATATATATATATATATATATATATATATATATATATATATATATATATATATATACGCAGTTTATGCGCAAAATTAAAAGGCAACTCCTTTGAACTTTTTCTTTATCTGTTAATTATTGTCGCTCACTTTTTTATTGAGCATTTACTAAAATATGTTCGCCTTTAAGCGCGTTGAATTCTCTTATTTTTCCATGTTTTCTCAAGCGTTATCGATTCGTCCATTATATATATATATATATATAGATAGATAGATAGATAGATAGAGAGAGAGAGAGAGAGGTTCTCCAGGTAATTGAGAGCAAATATAATATAGAAAAACAAGAGAAAATATAATATCACAAAAAAGAAGAGAAAATCATTATATTTAAAACTATTTGTGCACATGTTGAACTTAGGAAAACATAAAAAGTTGTTCAATAAAACTGTCCTTTGCCTTGAGGACGTCCTCGAATACAACTGCTTGCGTGGATCAAGTGGTTCTTGCTCATGTTGACTATCACATCGACAATTGTAGCTTTAAAAAGTCCTTAGTATTTGTGAGTTCGCTGTTTTGAGTGTCTATCGGCATAGTGTAAAAGCACAACACACACACACACACACACACATATATATATATATATAAGAATCTGGTGTATTGACAAAATTAAATATCTATTTTCCATCTACTTTCGGTGTTCGAACTCAGGTAAAAATTAAGCCTTCGAATATGTGTAATGTATGGCTGGCCGCTCGTCTCCCAGTATGCATGTCTGCTAAACCTTGCTGCAGACGCCTGCTCAGGCATAAACCTGTGGTTTATACTGCAACTATACTGAGCGGACCTTAGTTACAGTTTCTGGATGAGAGCGCATAATCTGTTGTGGACAACAGTTTGAACAAAATCTGTACCCTCAAAACTTGGGTCACGATGACTTGTGACTTTGCGCGATCATATTTATCGAGGGCTTCTGAATAGTTCAGGGGACCCAATCTTACGCAAAAGGCTTGGGTCAACCTGTGATATGATTTTCAAGCTTCTACTCCATAGTGTCGCACACTAAGAATGTCTCCCCATGCAGATTTTATCAAGGTCACTTTATGCTGACATTCTACCTCATGGCCACGCACCCACTAGTAAATATTTGCATAAATATACTTGTTCTAAAGAAAATAGTGTATCAGTTAATATCACTAAGAATTTTTTAATCGCGTTTACCCCAAGCAAGGCGTTAAAGCCACTAAGAGGTTACTGGGTGTGGAAGTAATAGAAAACAGAAACATTACTAAGGGGTAAAAACAAAAGAAGAGTGAACAGGAGGGCAGTAGATAACAATTGACATTGTATTTAAACTGTTGATGATTAAAGTTAACTGGAAAGTATGGAGCCGGAAGGGAGTTCCACAAGCGAGAAATGCGAGAAAAGAAACTGTTAGCATAGAACTTACGGTTACAACTAGCCAACTCAACTGTAAATCAATAAGACCTCGTTTTGCGCTTAAATTCATAAAGTTTAGGTACCATAGCGAAGAGCGATGTAATAAAATACAAAAATGTGGCACAAGGCCAAAAGGGGGATTATTGAGGCATTTCAACCCAGGCGCCCAAGTCCATATTGAGCGGGCCTCTCGTTTCGTAAGCCTGAGCTCTCTCTCTTTTCTCTCTCTCTCTCTTTTCTCTCTCTCTCTCTCTCTCTCTCTCTCCTAAAACGTGTCATTCCTTGTAAAAGAAATACATTCCTTTTTAAGCAATCTGTACGATTTCGTGCCCAGGTTATATCTCCACGATCATACTATCACGCACTTAAAAAATTCATAAGATCCTATGGAATTTAAAGGTTGCGTGTGTTGGTGTCTATTGTAGGCGTGTGCGTGTTCACATATAAACAATTAATGTAGAAGCAACAAAAACTTGTGCTTCTACTATGGGCCGTTTATTTTTTTATATACGTAAATTGTAAGGAAACAAAGTTCTCAATGTATCTTGAGTATGTCCATTTCCTTTTTCTAGTCCAGACGCACGTTAGGGTAAGTAGGGATAAGAATGGTTAAAATGGTAGAACTCAAATCGGCTTTGCGCTGGGATGGAACGACCAAATTACTTACTTCTGCAAAACACGTCCGATCGTTTTGCGCTGGAAAGTGGAAAAGAGACTTCAGTCGTCAGTGGAACAAGGGATAAAAACCTGCCCCAGCGAGGACGTCCCTTTTCCCCGTCCTACTACCTCTTGGACCAAGGAGAAAGAGGAAGGAAAATGTCTTTTTATAGACGCAAACAACGCCGCCTAAGTGGGGTATTAACATTTCCGATTTCTTTATTACTAGGAATATGAGAAAATGTATTTCTTTTTTTATTATTCATTATTAATATTTTATTTATTAATTTCATTTCATTTTCACACAATCCGGTCATCTTTATATAAGAACCTTTCATTTATATTATTATTGAATTAGGCTAGATAGAAAATATTGCTAAACATTTGCCAACCAGATACCTCAACTTTACTTATTTACTGTATTATGGAATTAGGCTAGGTACATGTACTGGTAGTCTATCGACATCTGGATAAGAATTAACCTACCAGATACCTGAATGTTGCATACATTTAGATTTAATACTCCAGTATTATGGAGTACATGTACTGGTCGTCTATGGCATCTGGGTGAAGATTAGCCCACCAGATACTTTAACTTATTACCGTATTATGGACTTAGGCTAGGTACATGTACTTGTAGTCTATGGACATCTGGATAAGAATTAACGTACCAGATACCTGAATGTTGCATACATTTAGATTTAATACTCCAGTATTATGGAGTACATGTACTGGTAGTCTATGGCATCTGGGTGAAGATCAGCCCGCCAGATACTTCAACTTATTACCGTATTATGGACTTAGGCTAAGTACAAGGACTTTTGGTCTATATCATCTGGGTAAACATTAGGCTAACAGATACGTCATCTTCAAATATAGGCTTTCTTTTTGTGGCCATTTTCCTTAAGACCACTTACTTTAAGCGCTCCGTTCATGGAATTCTTAGTATCCTTCTGTAGAATCACATTTCTGTTGCCTCAAATCTCGTTTTTATCTGTCAGGAGATTGTCTAGCATTTACTGCCATACAAGAAGATTGATATTATATAACAGTTCAGCACTATTTTCTTTGTTTCTAAGGAATTTCTTAATAATTTGCTGAGCTTTACAAAAATCTATAAAAAAATTGTCTATATCAGAGACAAGTCCATTTCTGCCCATATTTAATTTTTTAAGGGCATTTATATAAAAAAAAGTTACATCCACAGAAAATCAATTTAAACTCCCACATCTTTACATGAGAACAATGCAAATAAATTGCAGTTTTAAATATTATCGCAGTCATTGATTTTCATTTTATTTAGTACATGATTTATGATTAATACTAATTAATAACACTGCTATTAAGATAATCAACAGGCTATTCGCCCAAAATTATTTAGCCCGCCATCCTACAATTAAATTTAATTGAAAAAAATTATTGTTAAAACAAAAAGAAATAGAATTTATATTTGCCTTATTTTTATAATTAACGGAGTTATTTTACTTATATCTGTCTATCAGAGTCTATTCAAATTTATCTATCTATCTATCTACCTATCATTTTATTCACATCTATCAGTCTCTTCATCTCTCTCTCTCTCTCTCTCTCTATATATATATATATATATATATATATATATATATATATATATATATATATATATCAGTCTATTCTTATCTATCTATATATATTGATCGATCGAACTATCAGTTTCTTAATATCTATCAATCGATCAATCACAGTCTCTTCATATCTATGTATGTATCAGTCTCTTCATATCTATCTATCTATCTATCTATCTATCTATCTATCTATCTATCACAGTCTCTTCATATTATCTATCACCATCTCATCATATCTGTCTATTTGTCTATCTATCTATCTGTCTGTCTGTCTATTTTTTCTTAACTTCTTTTACCTTCAAATTAAAAACTAAAGTTTGTTAAGAACCAGTCTTTATGATATTGTTTTTCTTTTACAATACAAAATAAAACCCATTGGGATTTCGGTCGAATCGATTTCTCTCATTTTCTCATTTTCAATTTTCATTTTAACGTTTTTGTTTTTTGTCTTTTTTTGTGGGGTGAGGTAATGTTTTAAATTGGTTGATTTATTCATCTTTCAAAATTTCTGATTAAAGTCTGTTGTTCTGTACAAACATTACCGCTAACTTTATGCGGTTGTCTAAACGGTTGTGTATATATCTGTAAAAAGACAATATGAATATAATTTACCTTGACTTTCACCGTTAGCCTGAAGATGAGCATTCTTAAAATTAAAAATTTTGAAAGCATAACAATGATTTATTTCTGTTTATAAATACACGTTGAAAAATAAAATCCTTACATTTGCCTTGATAAAGTCCTTTAGAGGACGAAACATGTTGGTAAAGATTAGTTTTCCTTTTGTCTTTATTTATATTGTGTTTTTGTAGATGTATTTTACTTATATCAGAATATCTGCACCCCATATATATATATATATATATATATATATATATATATATATATATATATATATATATATATATCAGATTGCATTGTGACAGTGTTTCAAATGAGGAAAGTCTACCTTCGTTGAAAATCACCACTTAAAGAAATGTTTGTATTTTAAATCGACTAAAAATACTGGAGACAATGAAAATTTTCACCTGACCTACCAAAGATGTTTAGGTTTAAAAAAAATCTTTTCATCTCTAGCAAGGCTATAAAGCTACTATGACGCAAATGGTTACTGGGTTTGAGAGAATATGACAAAAAGAAAACATTATTAAGGAGAGAGAACAATAAAAGAAAAGAAATTCAGGAGGTAGATGATGTCGATTGACATTGCACTTGAATTTTTGAAGATCAAAGTTGACTTTCCAGTCAAAAATTTTAAAATCTTGTTCTTCAAGAATCTTGAAGAGAGTTCTACAAGTGCGATAGAAGAAACTGTTAGCATAGAACTTACGGTTTCATCTAGCCATTTCAACTGTAAAAGGATGTACTGCGCTTAAATTCATAAAGTCTAGGTGCCATATAGGAGATTTCATCAGAACAATTACTATGAAAGTATTTATAGAAATGTCACAGAGAAGCTACGTTACGGCGTTGGAAAAGTGACTGTAACCTAGATGCCAAGTCAAGACCGATAACATTGCAGATTCTTCTTTGGATTTTATCAAGTATCCGTAGCAGAAGCACCAGACCAGATGTGGTAACAATATTCAATGATTAGGTTGGATGGATGGTTGGTCGATTGATTTTATATGTCAACACTTGTTTCGATTTTGTTATAGGGCACCCGGTTAGGATCGAACTCATTACTCATTCATTAGTAATGATCAACTAATCAAGCCTCGTTAACCATTACTCCACAATGATTGTTGGTTGGTTGATTTTACGACAGGTCAACTCTTGTTGGGTTGTTTATGCCTGAAGTTTTTATTAGACACTACAGCGAGGATTGAACTCGCTAACCTGTGGCAATGGTTAACCGAACGAAACTTGCTATTACCCAACAACGTGACGCTCTGGTACGTCTGGCACAAGACTTGACAGAAGAACACAGTGAAGATTCAACTTACTGCACTAGTAGCGAATCAGTCGCTCTAGAGTAGGTACCCTCGGTATTATTAGTTTTAAATAATTAAATTGATTTATCTTAAACAGGCTTTTTAGTCATGTCTTGAATCGAAATCAAAGTATTATGCTCGAGCTTGTTAACCATTATCCAATGATAAAATACGCTGAAGATCGAACTTACTGTAAGAAAAGCGAATCAGTGGAAGACAAGCTTGCTAAGCATCGCACCTACAGTAGAGAGACAACCCATGAGTGTTGTTGTTATGTTTTTCATTTCTCGTCTACTGTATGGATTACGCGGGACAAGAGAATTATGTGAAAATAAAGCTTGCTTATTATTTAATTTATAATACGAAATATCAATGTCTTTATTTATATGTATAAAGTGTATTATTTGAAATAGCTTCTTTTCTTATGACACTCCTAAAAATCCCCGAAGCTGCCAATGTTGTATAAAAATAAAAATGGCATTAAAAAAAGATTTGACTTCATAAAAGCCGTTCCTTCATTTTGTCTTGCTTAAATAAGAAAAACATTTTTAAAGTAGTAAACTGAAGTGGTTTCTTTGGTTTATATATATATTATATATATATATATATATATATATATATATATATATATATATATATATATATATATACACACACACACACACACTTTTCTCAGGTGATTTTTTTTTTAACTTCAGCTTAAAAGTTTACAATGCTTTTATTAACGCCTTACTCGCTATCACAAGAGAGGTTTTGTTTTATCGGTCGTTCTTTTTCCTTTTTTTTATTTATAATAATTAAAAAAACAAAGTTAAAATGAGTCAAAATGTCTGTGCGTGTGTTACGAGTTGGTGTGAGACAGTGTTTTCGCTTTTCGTACAACACACATCAGCAGCAACCTTCGCAGAAGAGATAGAAAGAAGAAAAGGTCTTAAGTGTGGACTTGCCCACTCTCGGCTTTCTTTCTCTCTTTCTCTTTTACAATGTTAGCCGAGTCGTAATCTGACAGATTTTCTTTCTTTCACCCCCTCTCTCTCTTTCTGTAACTCTCTATTTTTACACGCATTTGTTACAACGAACAGTAACACATCACTAACTGAGAAACACGCGTATGTACGTAACTATCACGCACTTAACGCAACTGAGTTGTCCAGGCACCTGATACTTGCGCGGGATACAATTTTGATATGTCAAAATCACATTTTACTCAATAGAGGGAACCTACATATTTTTCTTCTACCACGCGGACGTATTTTTTCTTGAACGTTTACTTGGGAGAATTTTACGAGAAAAACACTTTTTTCCCCCTTTTTTTTAAATTTCGGGACAACCAACAAAGGACAAACAACTGACTTTCTTTACCACTGCGTAAGTAAGTCTGATTTACTTTTTAAAATTTATGATTTTAAAATTTTATCTCATTCAAATTTATTTAACTTGTGTTTGTTTTTATTTTAATTTCCCGCTGAAACGATAAATATTTTATTATTCCTTCTCGCAGATGTGTCTGTCTAAGAGATCGCTACAAGTAGGTGCCACACTTCGAATAATCATGTTTAAGACAGTCGCTTGCCATTTCTACAAAGTGAGACAGTGGCAAAATATACGATAAGTGACAGTGTAGTTGTAAAATAAATGAGAAACCGCCTTTTACGAAAGTTCAGATTAAAATTTAAATCAATTAAATTTTTATACCTTTTATATTTCTTTGTTCCATCTTTACTTTTAAGTTTTTGATAATAAAAAAAATCTATGTTTAAACAATAACATTGATGCGCGTCTCTACAAACGCATGTATTTCGTAGAGATCTAACGAAAAAGTTTTATTACGAGATATAAAATATATAATAAGGTTAGTAACTATTTCATGAAGATAAAAGAACAAGTGGTGTCTTGGATTATTTAATGCCGGCGGGGACACTTTGTTAGAGTTGGGGCTCGTCGGTAGAGAGCGTGTTTACAATTAATCAAGTTGATGTTTTCGTTCCATATCGATTACTACAGACGTGAATAGAAGAAATATATCTGTCGTCAATCGATCAATAATGTTTACGACGTAAAATGAATGACGAATGAAATATAAAATCTATGATTATTTATTTCTAAATCAAATGTTAACTGCTATGACTTTTTTAATTTTTTTATTCTTTGTGTAACACAGTCGCACGCATTTTTCACAAAGATTAAAAAAAATACTTTTGATATCCGTGTCATACGACATTAATAAAATAAAGATGGTCTTTTTGTGAAAAACAACAGAAAGAAAAAACTATGTAAAAAAATAAAAATTTTAACATCTATCGTGGACAATCCTTAAGCACACCTCTGTTGACCTGTATAACGTAAAAAAGACTCTGTGCGAGCATGCATGCGTGTGTACGTATGTACTTTACAAATGCGCTTATGTCTTTTTTCCTTTAGCACAAATTTATGAAAACAATGGAAAGTAATGATTTCAACACAATTATTCACCTGTCATTGTCCCCATACCCGGAAAATAATTCGTAATGCTTCTCACTAGTCAGGTACATGTCATCGTTCTCTCATTCACTCTCACACACACATATTTTTTTTTTTACTTAAACGCTATTTCTAGTATTTGAGTAAACGCTCCACTTATTAAACAATATATTTATTTTCGTCTTCTACCGGCCTGAATATTCGAGAAAAATATGCGCTATCTTGCAGGATTCGAACCTGCGTTCCTCTCGGGGAAACCGTTGACATTCGCTGACCTCTCAGTTTCCTCTAGTTCGAATCCTGCTGGAGAGCGCATATTTTTCATGAATAAGATTTCTCGAACATTTAGGCCGGTAGAAGAAAATAAATAAATATGTTGTTTAATAAACAAATGGAGCGCCTACACAAATACGAGTATCCACTGAAAATATCGGTTAAAAATTTGTCGGATCAATAAATAAAAAATCAATCCCCGTTTTTATATATATATATATATATATATATATATATATATATATATATATATATATATATATATATATATATATATATATATTCTAAAGAAATGATGGCCTTTTTTATTTTATTACTTTAAACGTCATTTTTTAGTGGATATCCATCTTTAATAAGATCACTCGACTATTCAGACCGGTAATACCGTTTATGAAATTTGTTTTCGTTCGAATAGAGGTATGTATTATAATTTCTGTTATTTTTAACTTTATATTTAGTAGATACACGTACTTGTTTTGACAACCCGTTTTTTTTTTTTTTTACGTCTTCTGGCATGTGCATTTGAGTCTTGACAAAGAAAATGCGCCTTCCGACGATGTTCGAACCTGCATTGCCTTTATGGGTGTAAAACATTAAGTGATATGTACTGATAAATTAT